GTTTGCTGATGACACCAAGCTGCGTGGTTCGGTTGATACCCTGGAGGGAAGGAATGCCATCCAGAGGGACCTTGACATGCTTGTGAGGTGGGCTCATGCCAACCTCATGAAGTTTAACCATGCCAAGTGCAAGGTCCTACACCTGGGTCGGAGCAATCCCAGGCACAGCTACAGGTTGGGCAGAGAAGAGATTCAGAGCAGCCCTGTGGAGAAGGACTTGGGGGTGTTGGTTGATGAGAAAATGAACATGAGAAGGGGTAACAGGTTAAAACTTAAACAGGGGAAGTTTAGATTGGATATAAGGAGGAAATTCTTTCCTGTTACGGTGGTGAGGCACTAGAATAGGCTGCCCAAGGAAGTTGTGAATGCTCCATCCCTGGCAATGTTCAAGGCCAGGCTGGACAGAGCCTTGGGTGAGATGGTTTAGGGTGAGGTGTTCCTGCCCATGGCAGGGGGGTTGGAACTTGACGATCTTAAGGTCCTTTCCAACCCTAACTATTCTATGACTCTATGGCATGCCTTTGGAATTCTAATATTTTGTTAATCAATACTAGAATAATAAATCATTCAAGCTGAGATACTGAACCCTGTGACTGAAACCACTCAGTAAAAGCAAGAGAACATTAAATACGCTCTGTAAACTTTCTGAATGACTGACTTTGGAATTTGCTTGCATTTCAGTCTTAGGAAAAGTTTGTATTGCAATAAACGTTATATCTTTACAACTCCTTACAACTTGAAACTCCTGGCATTTCACCTCTGTCTAACGGCATGCACAGCAATCTTGTAATTCAGTGCAGACAAGTTTTATTTTTAGCCTCCCGCAGGCGATATCTCAGAAAGTCACACAGTCTAGCCAGTATATCTGTAATGGCACACCAAGCTATTTTTACAAAGCAAATCAATTTTTAAATATGGTATTGAATTATGGTATCAGTAATTTAATTTCCACTTGAAAAGAATACCACAAACAGCAGACTGTATGGCTGATAGCATTAAGGAAGAGGGAGGAAAAGACTGCATTCGAACACAAGAGAAATGAGGTCTGCATTATGTACATTTGAAGTAGGTCTGAAGCAGCATTTTAAAGAAACAAAAATACACCATATCCCTTACTGCATAGCCATTACTTTTCTATTTTTTTAAAGTTTAAAAGCTTGTTATGTGTCTCAATAGTAACGGATTTAACAGCAGGAAATTATATTTCTTGAAAAAAAGAGATGCATACAGCTCTTACAAAAGGACAGTACTGTCTCCATACAGGAATTTTACAGTGGACTTCTATTTGGAGGAGGGAAGGGTGCCCATGTACTCAAAATGCTAATGAGAAAAGGGACTTGGTTGGGAAGATAACTCATATTAAAACTTTAAATGCTAATTAGGATACTGAAACATGTAACATTTTAAAGAAAAAGTGGCGCTTTCTACTGCATATTTATTTGGACTGACTTCCAGTAACTGGATGATGATGATATAACTGACTCAATTCAAACCATCATGAAATCTCTGTCATGTTTATTAAACAAAATTACGTTTCAGTTACCTGTTATTAGGAAAAGTATTACTAGCACACCAGGCTATGATTCTAAACCTACTCTTTATTTTTATACCTGTTAAGAGCTGGAATGGCCACTGGACATCAGTAGGCTTTTGTTTTGAAAAAAGGAAAAGAATAAAGTTTAGTGCCACAAGAAAGTAGGCACTTTAGGTCTTCAAAAACTTCCACTTCTTTTAGGGAAACTCCTTAGTTGTATTCATTACCACCATGCTCTTAACATTGTACAGTACAAGCAAACAGTATTTATGGTCTTAAACAGAAGGAAGGGATGAAAGGAGATTTTTTCGTGACTTTTAAATAAAGGGAAAAAAACAACACAATGAATCAAATAGGAAATGAGCCATGGAACACCAGTTCTGCACTATTTACCAGTCATTGAGGTTAGGGTTCTGCATCACTCATCTTCAACATTCACACTGCATCGTAACATAGATAGCTACAAAGGAAAGATTAAAACTCTACTATAAGATGGCTACCTGCTTTAAGGTGTTAATTTTACCGCAATTTTTAAGGCTCTAAACAATAAATAGTTTCTAGCGCAGCCCTGTATTTTAGACATCCTCAGAAAAAATTCTGCCATCAAATGACTTTATAAATCAACATACCAGTCATCTGGGAAAAGCAAATAAATCAATGGTTTCATTTTAAAATGCTTCTGCAAGGTAAAACTTTGAAAAGGTCAGAAACTGCTAAAGATTATCTTTACAGCCACAATTAGGGAGTTTCTCAGCACTATTGCTTATTCAGGCTGTATTCAGCTATATCGGTTCACAACACCTAAAAACTTGGTGCAACGATCCTCTTTGCAGAAAAAAGTTTACCTACCACATGCAAGACCAGCAAACCAGTGCTCTGAAAGAGTAAAGTGCTCTTCAATACACAGATACAAGCAGTACTTGAAACCCACTTGTCTTTTTTAAATTCTGTGAATAAAGCTGGGGAGTCTGGACTCCATAGCCTTTAATTACTGATAGCACAGATCAGGATGGAGAGCTGGATGTGGCTGATCAGTTCTCTGGGGCTCTTGGGAAAAATTAAGAAAGTTCAAGAAAGGCCACACTGGTCTTTACATTTGTTTTACTATGTCTGCAGTGCCCACAGGCTCATAAGGAAGGTGCCTGGGGACTACATTTAGGTCTGCTGCAATCTAATGACATCAGTGGGAATGCAGGAGAAAAGGAGCCAAACCTGCACTCTATATAAAGACACTGAAACCTTAATTTGTTAGCTGGCACAAGCAGTGGCAGATACAAGTTTGACTCATCAATGAAACAAACATTAAGGAAGGTGATATTTGTGTCTCAATGCAGGCTGTCCAGGAATAGTGGGGGTGGGGTGGAAACTACAGAATCCCTGAAGTCAAAAGAGACCTTTCGAGTTTGCTACCTCAAAGCAGGGTCACCTAGAGCAGGTTGCTGTGTCCAGTCAGGTTTTGAATACCTGCAAGGATGGAGATGACACAGCCACCGTAGGCAACCTGCTCCAGTGCTCACCCATTCTCTCTGAAACCTGTATGAAAAAACTTCTCTGTTGCATGGCCATGTCCATGAGCAATCTGACCTAATTTCAAAGTCAGGCCTCCTTTGAGAGTCTATGATGTGAAGTTAAATTTCAATGAATTTCCATTATTGCACTATTTTATTTCAGAACAAAACTTGCTTTTTTTTTTTTGTTCCTCCTTGGTACAAAACTTACTGTCTCTGTGCATACTTGAAAGGTATAGGAAATGTTCTGGACTTTAAAGACCAACATAATTCCCTGGAAGCATAGCTCTTGGCTCAAGTGCAAAAGCAAAGTGCTCTAATCGTACTCCTTCAGATTCCTTACTTCAGAAAAACAGCCAATGATCCAATTTTCAGGTGGAACTACATCAAGGTATTAAAGAAAATTAAAAAAAAAAGACAAAAAATTCCTACTTGAAAGAATTTTCACACTCCCCCAAATGTTTCTTTGGTCTTGGTTGGTGTTAAAAATGTACAGCCTACAAGGAGAGGAACTCTCAGAGTTCGGCAATGATATATCATGTCATGCTGTGATTCTAAAGTCTTAGTACAAGCACCAGAAAGTACCAATAAGCTGTAGTATTAGTTATAGTGAAATCAATAGGATCTGATCTCTGATGTACTAATCTTATAAGTGGCTACCCATAACTGGACAGAAAGATTGAAGCAAGTTTAGTAGCTAACTCTTAGTTAATGTCCCCCATCCTTCTGTGTTAGGATTGCTCTTTTTGTAGACAACAACAATAAAACCATCTCAGCTCTTAAATAAACCTATAATTTGTAATTCAGTACCTGAAATGCTGTTAGATTTTCAAGTCTGTCTTCATAAGGAAGGGCAAACATTGTTCTGAAATCCCACAGGTCAGAAAAAATATTAACAGATGTAGCCTTAAAGGCAGGTTACTGAACCATTAAGTGTGTTACTCCTATATTTGTATCAGTTCTCTCTTACTCTATGTCTATTACATAGAAATATAATTGCAGCTTAATAGACTTTTTTATGAATAGTATAATTTATATAATGCATAAGTTTTTAATGTAGACTTAGGTTATTTTTTATAAAAAAGGTAAATTAAACATTTTAAAGAGTAAAGATTATAAGCAAATGGAAACATAATTCAAAGCTGGAGAAGAGTTACGCTACTCATTGGAAACTGAAAAGTACTAATTTGCATTTCTGTAATCATTAATCGGGGTTATGAGGTGTCAATTATTTTGCACGTGTGACCTTTTTAGTTTCTAGGTAATGCACCTCAATTAATTGTCTGTGGCATCATAAAGCACCTTTTTCACTGCACCATGACTATGAAAAGCAATAAAATTCTTCCTCTGCAGCTGAAGTATAAAATGCACAACTGACCTTAGCACTTAGCCGTAGCTCACTGATGCTAATGCAGACCTTATATTGGTATAAATTACAACGCAGTCAAAATCTGAGTGCTTGCCTAATGCTTTCCTAGTTCATGGTAGATTTTTGTAAAGTCACAGAAATGACCATGCTTTGAAATCTGTTTCTGTCCTCTGCTGAACTGCACATTGAGAATCCTACTTCAACAAAACAGAATAAGCTGCTTTAAATGTCAGTGTAGAAATTACTATGAAAGGCAAAACTATGAGTCAGTTACCCCATTCATTTCTCAGGAATATAAATGAACCAAAAATCTTGATACTGACAGGCATTATGCATACAGATTGAGGAGCAAAGCCACATGGGTAACATGCAATATTTTCTACCCAAGAGCTTTCTGCTGTAAATACGATGTATAAATGTAATCTGTGAATTAAAATCTGTCATTCATTCATTATTTTGCAAATACTCAGGTGAACAAATGAAAAAAAATAAAATACAACAAACTTAAACTTTTGGAAGCAAGGAAAATTATGTTTTTCAGCTGCCAAAGGTACTTGCAAAATCATACAAGAGAAAGAAGAGAAAAAAAAAACAGAGAATTGAGAAAATTTAATAAATGCTGAGTGGTAAAATAACTGAATGTTACAGTGGATAAGATAGAACCTCCAGAGTAGATCTGTATCTGTAGCAGATACATTGGTTATTAGATGATCTGGACAGATGAGAGAATGAGAGGACCTAAAATCAGTTCTGCTTTTAAAATATCCAAAGTTTATTGTAGCCATTTCAATTCTACATTTTGATAGATTTACATCTATTATTAATGACTAACATTAACAAATTAACATCTAACATTAATGACTCTGGTCATTAAATGGTAAGGCAGTTCAGAACTCTTTTATTTTTCCTCTAAAAAATTTTTGGTAAGGCTAAATCATAGTTGCACTGTCATTTTAAAAGGAGAACATTGCGCAGAAATAAGTAACTATAAAAGAAACCCTTAACTTTCCTCCCCCTGCTCCCCAACAGTGTACTAAAGAAATGAAAATCAAATAAAAAAACAGAAAGTAAACTAAATCCAACGGAATGTTTTATCTTTCTCCGCTTTCTCGAGCTTCAAATAAACGTTGTATGTAAATATATTTTCCAACCTGACAAAGCCAAGGTGTAAAAAATTCTCTAGGGCCTCAAGCAAATATTTTTTGATGCTAACAAAGACTCTATGAATCAATGGTGAGATAGCTACTGAAGTTTATATTTATCACAAAGATTGCTTTTCAAAGCCCACCTGTCAGTAGTAGTTTTATTTTGTTTTCATTAATTATTGACCCACATGTCTCTACGCAAAGACACACATGGCAGAGGATTTATCTCAAGTTCAGAATCACAAGACTGCTCAACAATTTCGTAAAGGATGCACTGACATGCATATAAAGTTGACATTACTGGAACTGTTGAGAGAATAAAATTAAATTGAGCGAGCTGAAGTACAAACATCAACATTTCATAAAAGCTTCAAGCAGTTCTATAAAAAACCCCATGCTCAAGCACATAATAAATGTGATCAGCAGGTATCCAGATTAAAATGGACTTCCCGAAAACATTTTTTTTTTCCTCTGACATTTTGGCCTTAAGAAATAAAAACAGTTTAAAATTGAGATATTTCCAATATTGAAATATTAAATATTGAAATATTAAAAAAAAGAATGGGTTTAGAAGTAACTAAATGTATTTAAATGCTTTGTAACATTGTTTTTGAGACCTTACCCTACCCAGTCTATGTGGAAAACAATATACTTGTTGCATATGCAATTTTTATGGCTTTGAAAAAAATGCAGACATGGTAAAGTTAGACTTTTGTCTTTCCTTCCCACATAATAATATTCAATCAGCAATACTATAAATTCAAAGAATTAAACTTAGGAGTATACCTCAAGCACTCTGAGAACTCACAGATAGCTACCATAGTAGCAGCTGTAACAGGGCATGACAACATCTCAAGATTTTGCTTATTAAAATGAGATTTAAGGGACACACAAAAAATGTATGTTATGTATTCAAAAACTACCTGGCATTTCAGTGTAGCACAGTTATTTTGCCTTAACAGTTCATTTTTTCCAGCACAAAATAAGCCATGTTGAGCACAAGCTCTCCCACTGGTAAATCTTTCTTTATGTAACAAATAAAATTAAATCTATTGAGTTGCTTTCTGAAATAGACAGTTTCCATATGTGACCTATGATAAGTAGTATTGTTGAAACTAAATTATAGAAATTCTCATTAAGAAAGTATGTAACTGTATCAGGGAAGACAGCCTACTGATTTAGTGGGCCCAGTATTGGCCAAACTGCTCACTTTGAACAGCTCCAACAACTTACAGACTAGCTTTTTCTCCAAAACACTGCATGTGACATTGGAAAACGTCCATTTTTTAAAAGGAAATCAGTACGAGTACAGTAAATGATGTGTAAAATTGAGTAGAAAGATCATCACTTTTCCTCCATATTTATTGTTGCCAACTCTTCTCAGAATGGCAAGGGTTGACAGAGTATTCAGTAGAAGTTTCCATCCATCTGTAGCTTGTTTTCATTAAACAGTATAATTTTATGTCAAAGGAATTTATGTTCTGTTCTGACATGCATTATACTATATCTCTTAGATATAATAAAATGGTTTCTGATCACCAAAGTTTGAGAGATTCATTCATTCCACTTACCTTATTCAGAGTATGCCCTTTGATTCCTTCATGATGATTTCTGAAGCTCTTCTTTTGAGGAACAGTGATTCTGCTAGTAGGTTAACCATGAATCTTGAACTCCTGGTGATTAAATACAAAAGTTTATATTAATAGTGAAAATTAAAGATTTGATTACTTCTCATTATAACAGTCCTGAAAGTTTTATTTGATTATAATATCTCAAGTGAAAATACATATAAATTAATCATGATTTTGCTGCACTGTCACTTCATAGACACATATAAAGACATAAATGTACATAAATGTAAATACATAAATGCACATAAATTACATAAATGTAAAGACACCTCCCATGGACAAAACCAACAACCAGCCTCAGAGATCAAGGTGAGATAATAAAGCAATGGCCATAACATATGAGGATACTGGTTCATAGGGAATTGTAAAGGGTAGGCCATGGCTATAGAGTAATTACTAAGGTGTCTGAATCTGTTGCTTCTCCTTTTCAGGCTTCTTCATTTTAATTGCCAAATTACATCAATTTTATAGTATAGATCATATTTTCTTGGCATTTAATGACTCCTACTCTCCCCTGGATTCTCTCCAATTGTTAGACGCCTTTCTTGAAAGATAGGTAAGGCTGTATAATCTGGTTCAGAAATGCTAAACCTCGCAGGCCTGTTATAGGTCCAGTCACAAAATATGACTTTCTGCAGTACAGAGAAATTTGAGACTCATGTTTTGCGAAACAAAATAATCTCTCTATCTGTGAGATACTATTTGGCCAACTGTTCCCCAACTATCTGTCTTTCATGACTGATTCTGTTGAAGTGCGGTGCTGTGCACTTCACACTTTTGGCATATAGGAACAGCTGAGCTGGGTCCAACCTAAGTCCATGTCAAGGGTGTCTAGGCTGGTGTGCCCTCTCCAATGCTGGCAAAACAGATTTCTGGGAGAAATAGCACATATGTATGAGATACTATATTTCATATTGGTTTATTCTGTTGTACACATCATTAATTATGAAACACAATGAACAGCAGGGGCATGAGCCAGATGCTGTTATTCTACATCTTATTTTGACGGTGAAAAACAGACTAGGTAACAGTGCCAGTCAGTTTTGCACCTGTATTATCTTCTGCTAGACCATACTTTATAAAGCTTTATTTAACGACTTATCTACTGACGCAGTTTATATGACAAAGTATAAAATACTTTCAAGGCCATGCTATCACTAGAACAATGTAAATTTTAAAAACTTGAATATCAAAAATTGCATTCCAATTTGAATAATATATTTTAAAAGTAATAGAACTAACTCATCTCATAAACCCCTTCTGAACTTCCTTTTGGGTATCTGGGGAAGGATGCAAGTGCCTAGTTCTTCTGGTAGCAAGATATCTATCATTGAGATGACACAGGCTTCTGTCATACACATTTTGTTGTAAGTACAGTTCTGGAAATTAATAGATTATTAAAGTAGCACGTTGCCTATGTACAAGAATGTAAACTATTTTGTGTTACCTTTTCAAGGCAGTTAAGTGTCTAACGTACACTCAGTACCTGTGGTTCATTTACACGTGCTTAATACTCTCTGTACTTTCAGACATGCTTAATAAAACCAAGGTCTCATCAGGTGAAATATATACTTATCCTGGGTAATTTGTTTTGGTTCTCCTTTACATTTAAAAGGATAGGCTACTTCTGTCACAGATAGCTTATTACAGTACCTTCAGTAACAAAAGTTTAATTCCAAGTGGTTAAACAGCATAAATTGGTAGACCAGGATATTCTTAGCATTTATAAGTTTCATATTTCTCTTTCATAAAAAAATTTAAGGTTTCATTAAGCAAAGAAAACCAAACCAACCAAACAAAAAAAACCCACACAAACCAAACCCCACAAAAACCCCCAATCAAGTTATGAATTGGTTTCTCTTTTCCCAAGACACAGGATGAGATAATTATCAAGTTACTTTTATTAGTTCTTAAAAGAAAAAAAGATTTTTAACCAAAACAAAATGAGATTCAGTTTTAGTGACCACTCAAACCATCTACATTTGTACTTCCATGCTTATGACAGCCTCATTAGCATGGTATGCAAGAGGCCTTTCTCGGTATCTGATATTTTTAAAACACGTAGAGGAAAGAAAGGATATGTCTCAAAATAAAAATTCCAACATTTGCAATCTCTTCTTTGTATGCTACTGAGAGGGATTCGGTATAACAGTTCTATCAATGTATTTCTGAAAACTTGTCAGTAAGAAGATTAAAAAAAAAAAAAAAAACAAACAAACCAAACCCACCTTCCTAGAATCTGGATATGTTAAGCAAACCTTGCAATGGATATGGGAATCAAAGACCTCCTAGAAGATGGAAGGACATGACTCCTTCCCGAGTCTGATCTGGAGGAAAGAGGGAGGAAGCTTTTGTAGTTGGGAAGTAAGAGAGACTGGTGCATTCCAGGTCAGGCAGCTTAAGAGGGCTCATTACTTTTGCTCCATAAACCATTCTCTGATTTTCTGTCAAAGCAGCAGCTACTTTGAACACTAGAAATCTCAGAGGAGATTTAAGTTTAACCTGCAGTAAGATGAGTGCAAATAAACTCCGAGATGTGAAAGCAGCCGCAAAGAGTCTTTAAGTCTAGCCCGTTAATGCATTTTATCTTCTCTAAAGTTGTTTCATTACTGTAGACCCTTGTTTTACATAAATCTATACTTTCAATCTTAAAACTTGTCACGTGATAGAGGTGAGCATGAATTATTCTAGCAGTGCAACAAGGCACTCACTTCTTACAGAGAAGGGTACCCTTAAAAGCTGGCTAAAGGACTGCCTAAAAGGTTTCTAGGCTTTAGATTTTAAAACCTTACATACTGCTTAAAACAACACATGCTTTCAGAAGACTTGCAAAGGTCATTTGGGAAACATGTATCAAAGGGCTCCAAAGAGGAAAAAGCATTTTCAGCAAACACCCTGCCACCTTTTGGCATGTTGCAATGGAGCTGGGGAGCACACCTGAACTCTGAGGCTCCCAAAAGAAGGATGACACGTGACAACAAGTGAACAAATACTGGTTCTGCTCTGCTAAGCAATCTGTTCCTACATGCTGTGAGCCTCTCTGAGGATTCCGTGCTTTTCTTCTGTCTAAGAGTTTCCCCAAGGAGCAAAAATGCAGCACGAAAGACAAAACAAAGTCTACATGGAATGTTTCTTTATAGTAGTAGTAGTGCAGTTTTGATGATATTCTTCATGTACTCAGAAATTCATTAGCAAGATTTCAAGGCTGTTTGCCTAACTTGCTTGGTAAATCACTTCAAGTCAGTAAGAGCCAATAGAAAAAAAAAAAAGCACCAGCTGTGGACACCAAAAAGTTAGTATTTGCTACTTTTATCTTCAAAAATCATTCTGAATTTTAATCACACTCAGTACAAGATACCAGTCCACATGGTAAAACCATCTTCTGACCTGTAACATTTTCAGTTCACAGCCTAAACTATGATCTGAAAAGGGAAAAGGAAAGGAGGTTTTTTGCAAGCAGTAAAACTCACTGCCTGCGTTAATGCCCAGCCCTGTGAGAAGTGGCAGGCCAGTGAATTTCTGTTTCATTGACTTTCCCACGGACAAGCAAAATCAGCTGATGCTTCTGCACAGGATGTAAATGATTGCTTCTTTTAGGTCCATATCATTAAATTGCAGGATGCCCTTACTGTCCTCCGTAAGGGCTAAAGCTCAATTACTGAAGTTTGAGGAGAGCCATGTATATTTACACAAGGCTTCATTGGGATTAAGGTAAAGGTAGGTATTACGGAAACAAAGCCAGCATAGCTGGCCACTGGCCAGTCTTATAGGAAGGCTATGTCTGAAGAATATTTATCAGCTTTTAAACCTCTCATACCTTTCACTGCTTGGAACTGCAAATGTCAATCAACTTTGTTGCCATTACAAATGATCCAACTAATCATTTGATGAAAGACTTAATTCTTCAAACTTGATCCTTTTAAACAGAAGGGCTTTGCAGACTGATCCTACTTAATCAACTGCATACTTAAAACTTAAAATGTGTGAATACTACTAATGTAAGTCAAAAATTACTAGTGAACAATTATCTTCTTATTGACTGTCACTTATATGCAAATCACCCACACATCCTGACCAACTTTGCAATGTGGTTTCACATTAAGGGTCATTAACTCAATTTCCATGTACTCTGTGATATCTCTATTTTTATTGTAGCCATAATGAATGCTTTAAATTATAGTAGTGAAGCAAGAGGGTTTTTTTCAGTATATCTTGATGACTTTTTTAGAAGAAATCCTTTCACTCAACCTAGAGATTAAAAACCCCACAACCTTCTTTATTATGTATTTCATTTTATTTAGAAAGAAATTTAAAAAAACCCACAGCATTCAAGCTATGAATCAGTGAACAGTTCTTTTGGGATTTTTTTCATTTCACAAAGAATCGGTGTATGCAGGGCTGGAAGCTTTGTGCCAGTAAAAATGCCGTATCGTAATCTACACCAGCAGATCAATGAACTGTTGGACAGAACCACTCAAAATCACCTCCTCTCCCATTACCATGCTTTCTGGTCTCCCAAGCACAAATTACCCATCAACCTCCTTGACCTAGTTCCAGAAACACTGCCATAAAGAACACCTGTCAGAGTGATGCATGTACAAGCCCAGTGCAATGACAAATAAGAAGCAATAGCAGTTATCACACGAAATAACAATTTAGCCACAAATCTGGCACAGTATCCGGCTGGTTTGATTTCCCACTGCAAAATGTCAAAATTGCTACTGGATAGGACATTATCATGCCAAATCTTCATGATCCACCACAGGAAAAATTGCTAGGGATGCCTGTGACTGCAGGAATACCCTCCAGTCCTTTCAACACCTGACACCAGATTACATTCTCCAAGTAAAGCATGGAGGAAGTACTCCCTCCTCGCTTATCAGATCAACTTCTAGAGTCCAATTCACAGCCTGATATCCTAAGGGTACTCATCACTGTGGTCCTTACTATTTACTGTCTGTTAAAAGATAGCGCTTAATTAAAAGCATATATGCTTCCAAACTGTAATTAGTCATATGTGAAATCTCCAGAGAGGGAATGTT